CACAGAATCCTCAGTAAGATATTTCTACAAATTTATTTGATATTTTCTGCTTACTATCCCCCCACCACTACCATTTTCCTTCAGCCCCTTGTCCTTCTCCTTTCCTCCACATGCCCCTACCTCCCTTCCCTCCATCTTCACCCATCTTCACCGTCACTCATGCCCCCCTGCTCTCCTCCAGTCTGCCTTTTGTTCTGCCGCTCCTGTCTCTGCATGCCTTCCATGCTCTTCCTTGGACATAGCCACCTGACAGGCACTCCCATTCTGTCTGTATTGCCTGGCTCCCAGCTTCCTTTCCTGCTTTTCATGTTTGTCTTCCTTTGATACTTCTGTGTGAGTCCAGTTTGCTCATTTTCCCCTTATTGCCCTCAGCTTAGGGTTTGTTTTGCCATTTTGAAGATTTTTTTATTTTGAAGCTTTTAAAGTTATAATATTTATCCATCTTGGGGTTTGCTTATTTCAAGTTTGTAATTTCTTTTTTATAAATCAAGTTATTTCTTCATTTATCTTTTTGAGCAATTTAAACATGCATATTTAAAATCACTTATCAATGGGAAATTTTAATACCGGCTGGATATTTGATGATGTGAAAGAATTAATGTTAATTAAAAAAAATATGCAGTGATACTCTCATTCTGTTTGGGAAAATAAAGCCCTTATCTTTTAGATAAAATAATGTGCTGAAAGATGCGTGGGGGGTGGGATGGTGAAGGGTCTAGGTGAAAGGCCTCCTCAGTTTCTGGTTGTTTCAGCTTAGTAATGGCTCTCTAGAGTTGTGTAATACTGTTCTGTCTTGTGTTCAAATTTTTACATAATAAAAAGTTTTTAAAAATCCTTTGTCATAGCCAGGTGCTGGTGATTCATGCCTATCATCCTAGCTACTTGGGAGGCTGAGATTGGGAGGATTGAGATTCGAGGCCAGCCTGGGCAAATAATTTATGAGACCCCATCTCCAAAATAACCAGAGCAAAATGGACTGAAGGTGTGGCTCAAGAAGTAGAGTGCCTGCTTTGCAAGCGTGAAGCCCTGAGTTCAAATAACCACCCAGTTCCACCCACAGAAAAAGCCCTTTGTCGTATCACCTCATAACATTAGTTTCATCTGAAATGACTTCATATTTGAGTTGCTGATTTTGCTTTAACCTTTCTAATTACATTTCTTGGCATATTTGAGATCTGGTTCATGTGGAATGAGAAATTTGATTTTATCGTGTTGCTTTGTTTCCTCTCTCCCTTTCTACATGGCCTTTTTGCCCTGCCTAGCATTTCTCTAGTTTCCTACACCTGCACCCTAGGCCTGGCTGCTGTTTCTGAAGGTCTCCCTGGTGGTGCTGGCAACACTGTAATGATAGTTGATGAGTCTGGATTCATTTGTGCACCAGGGCTGGATCTGTGGCCTCCTGGCTGCCTAGGTTTAAGCAAACAAAGCCACAGTCCTGGAGAGGGTCTTCAAGAATCTTTAATTTCAGCTTCTTATTTTAGGGGGAGCTCTCCACTCCAGGTGGACAGCCTGACTTCAATCCCCTACATCTGGAGCATGGTTTATTCCCATCCCACAGAATAGAGGTTCTAGCTGCCCCTGCCTGCTCTACAACCTTGGCCCAGCAGGCCTGTGGCTGCAGCTCCACCTACTGCTTTGCATTTCTGTTCTGTTTTGGACACTTTAATCTTGTTTTTGAACCTGTTCATGTCTTTTTGGTTGTCTGTTCTTATCTGCTGTCACTCTGTGTTTAGAGCAGCAGAGATGCATCAATGTGTGAATGCACAGTGCTGCCTTGACTGAAGGAGGGCCTGACTAATCCATTGAGGGTCTTTTCAACTCCGCAATCAGACAGTCGTCCCCTGAGCAGCTCTCATAATGGTGACACTTTGCCTTTGTATCAGATACAACATTCTTAATTTAGTGTTTTCTTCCTAGAAGACATTCTTGGAAATTTCCTTAGACAAAATAGCAGCCTTATGATTTGAAGTTATTTATCCACACACACACATTTGCTTCTGTAATTATCTTATTTATCTGCACACACATTTGCCTCTCCCTACTGGGATCTAAGCTCCAGAAGACCAGAAACTTTCTCTCTCGTTTCCCTGATATCTCTAACTCCTTTACAATAGTGTCTGTCACATGGGAGACACTCGGGAACATGCTGAGGAATTACCGAGTCAGTCACTGAAACCTGCCCACACCCCTTAATTGTAGCAGCATGCTGAGTGCTACATGGTGTGTGGCCTCTCCTGCAAGCTTAGGAAGCAGGTGTTGGACTACAGAGCAGCTGCATCAAGTGGCCGGTGTTATCTGCATGTTCCTTCATTCATTGAGACTGAATCTTTGGGTGCCTGACATCCAGGTATTTGTATCACATTCATTTTGCACAGCCCTTTTTCATGTGTCACTTCCTGTTCATTGTCAATTGCAGGGGTTTCATTATAAATCTTAGAGCTGATAAGAGCTGATAGGCAGCACATGGCAGAGGCAGTGTGGGCTAGCCACCCTGCTGGCTTATTTGTGATGGAAGGCAAGGTGTTTGGGGATGTGGCATAGGTCACAGAGTTCTGGTGACGTGGGATAAAACAGACTAACCCCCCCAACAATAGCTCATTATGTCCTTACTTGGCCATTGCCTAGCAGTATTACATATTGATGTCAATAGAGAAGGTGACCTCCATGTTCTCAATCTTTCTTCCTTTTTGGTGGTACTGGAGTTTGAACGCAGGGCCTTGGACTTGCTGTGCAAGCAAGCCACGGCCCGTTTTTTCTTCAGTTAATTTTCCTCAATCCTTCTGCCTATGTCTCCTGAGTAGCTAGGGATTGTAGGTATGTGACACATGCCCCACCCTCAATTTTTCTTCCTGTGTGAATGAGTGGCCTCTCTCTAGCCTGAGGAGGTGCCACTGGTTGGACATCTCTGCCCAGTGCTCTAGTTCTGCACCCTTTCCTGACATAGGCATCCTATTGGCACAGGGCTGCAAGCTACCAGCTGAGTGTTCGAGGAGCCCCTGCCCAGAGGATGGATCACAGTGTGTCAGTTGGATGGTGGGTGGATATGAAGATAAGCCTCCTCATCCCTCCTGCCCCAGTCACCCTTAGGAACAGCAGCTGAAGAGCCTTGTGTTGGTTTTTCTTTCAGATGTTATCTTCCTGTTTGGCTGGAACTACAGGACAGAAAATGACAGTTCCAGAGCTCTGTATGGACTGCTTATTGTATCAAATGGGCTTCTCCTCTGATTGCACCAGGGTTTGTTTGCAGTTAAGTGCTGGGCTGTTGAGAGGCCCAGCATAGATTAGCCATGCTTGCGTTTCTGGGACATGACCTCAACATCATGCTTAGAAAGATCCTGTGAGAAATCCCCAGCATTCAGCCTCACTGTTTGTGTTTAGCTTTGCTGAGATGTTGGCATTCCAGACATCTTGGCATTTTTAGATATTCTACAGTATCTGGGGAGCCAAGTTGCTACTTTTCCTCCACTTGGAAAAAAGTGTGCAAGAGGAGAGCAGTTTGCTCAAGACTACATTGGGCCACTCCAAGGTTAGAGCCAGTGTTAGAACTCCTCTTGGGTGTGCAGCCTGCCACCTGCCCACACTGGTCAGGCGTTCCCCTGGGGATGGTGGCTCTTTCCTCCAGCCCTTCCACTGGCACTGGGTGCTAGTGCGTGCTGTGTGCAGTCCACTCCCATTGCTGATTCTGGAAGATTCCAGGCCAGTGGTAGTATCATTGCTGAGGACATGGGCTTTCAGAAACTTATATGTTTGCAGGATTCAAACCCATCTGCTTATAGCATTGTGTGGTTTGGAAAGAGAAGCTCAGGACTTGGAAGTTGTGTAAGATTCACAGTCCACCTACTTGATAACTAGCTTGTACTCTGGAGGGTAATGAGAATTAAGTGCTACCAGGAGCCTGGAACTGTGCTCAGGCAGACTCACCCCTCACATGGGACAAACGATAAGCAGTGAAGGGGAGAGGCAGTAGGGCATGGGACCTGGTCCTGGAAAGTCCCCAAAGGGCTCTGGAGACACAAAGTCCCTTATTCCAGATAAGGGACTTGTGCTCCTGCTCTGGTGACCTTTGTGGAGACCCGGCATTGCTGTTGGGGTTTCCTCAAACCTCTATGCAGTCCTGTGGGGTGGGGAGCATAGAACATTTCTGTTCCAGTGTTACACACTATACCTGAGGAGGCTGGACATCTGTGGAATAGGGACAGTTGCTCAAGGTCACCCAGCTAGTTAAGGATGGGGCTTGGTTTCCCCAGGTCTGCTGCTCCAGGTTGCTTTCCCTGGTTAGCCAAGACTACATCCCAACTGTATCAGGAGGGAAATCTTCTGCTGTGCACACTGCACAGCGACTCATACAACTGTCAGGTGGGTGAGGTTAGCGTCCCTAGGGGTAGGAGACTGTGTTCTTCTACTGGATGCCCGATCCCTAGCCCCACAGCTCAGGGGGTGGCCACTGCTGTATGTGCTGCCAAGTGTCAGGTCTCTGAGGCCAGTGGCCAGCTGCTTTGCCCTTCCAGACCTTGTGGCTGGAGGAGCACAGCACCTCAGTGAGGCATAGCCTGCGATGATCATGGCCCAGGTCTCAGCTCCTATTGGAGTACTGAGAGCTGTGGGTCCATTTCTTAGCCCCTCTTTTGTGTCCGTCTCCTCATCTGTACTGGGGAATCCTGATAGTCTTACCTGTCCTCCAGAGGTATTGGAAAGAGCGTAGCAAACGCTCTGTGGGAAGCACACAGAGCAGTGCTTGGCAGATCGTAAGCATTCAGTAAACGATGGTGATTACCATCTGCAAAATGGTTATAATAATTACCCACCTTGAAGGATTGTTGTGAAAATTCATTGTAATACATGTGTACAATCTGCAGTGTGGTGGGGTTTTCAGTTTATTATTTCTGCTCTTCTCATTGTGAGTGTTGTGAGCAGAAATGTCAGTCGCTTTCTCCCTGCAGCCCCCCATATAGCACTGTTGCTGCCAGCGGCTAAAACGGGCTTTGTTCTCTTTCAACTAGGCTAAGGAACTGCAGAACAGAGAGGCAGAGCTAAGGCGCCGCGACACCTTCTATAAGGAGCAGCTGGGGCGCATGGAGAAGAAGGTAGGCTCATGCTTGGTTGCCCTCGGGGCCATGTCTCAGAGGCACCTAACCATAATAATACACCCCCTGTCTCTGGGAGCTGCTGGCTAGGCCCTCTTGCCCAAATACCACTCAACCTTTGGACACGCCCTCCCACATTCTGCAGCCAGTGCCACAATCCCAGCCTTTCAACAAGTTGCATTCACGAAGATAATTCATTTTTAATTGGTCTGGCTTTTGTTGGATGTGGCTGGCTCTACTATAGTTCAATTTTAGAAAAAATTCACTTTCACCACAGGGCGGTGCTGAGACCCAGTATACCTTTTTCACTTGAGTTAAGCTGCATTGGGTAAAAATAATAATAATGTGAGTCTTGCTATGCAGATACATTAGAGTTGTCTTACTGATTTTCTCCTGGAGTTGGTAAGCTCAAAGTGCACTGCTGCTACACACTCACTGCTGTTCTGGGGACAAACCTTTGATATGCGTGAGGTTTAAAGACACATCAGCATGCCTTCTTAAATGCCTGTAAGGAAAGTCTGTGGAAAATTCATTGGGTAACTTGCTTACTTTTGGGGGCTTTAATTTGTTGATTATGACAGCTTTTCCCAAGAAATGGCTTAAAATGTGGGAGGGGATGGTTGGGAGGTTAAAAAAATTGTTCTCCCTCATGCCTGAGACAGCATGCCCGGCAACCTGAGCCATCATCTTATTGCAGGCAAATCTCAGAGAATCATTTGTCACGGTTTGGGGCTTTGAAACTGACAGTTTGCTTGAGGGGCTTGATTTCCACAGGGGTTTTCTCCTGTGCTGTGCCACAGTGAAGTCTGGCTGAAGTGTGGATTTCTGGGTTCCTAGGCAGTGGAACAGGAGGGAGGCTTCTCCATCAACATCCCCCCAACCTTTGCCCCCTCCCAACCCTCACTTCAGCTTGTCTATCTCTGCAAGACGTTTAGGGGAGGGCCAGAATTGACACCAGGAGCCTAGGCACCAATGATGACACCCTGCAGTTGGAGGAGCACCAGTGCTCCTCTGAGATGCCTGCCAGTGGCCCTTAATAAGCCAGTGTTTCACAGAGCAGCCTCACGCACCAGTTTGACTGTAGCATGTAATGACAAGGATTGTGATTTGAGGTCCCAGAAAAGGGTAGAAAAATTCCACCAGCCATAGCTTTAATTATCACAGTTGCCCATATGTTCCTAGGCATGGATCTTTTTTTTTCCTTTTTCCTTTTTTGTTTTTTTTTTGTTTTGTGTACAGTGCTTTGGTCTCCTACTGTTCTAATCTCCTAGACTTTGGTCTCCTCTGTGTCTAATCTCCTAGTTTGGCTGCTAGAAGCCCATGTACATGTGTCTGTTTGGGGTAGAAGGGAAATAGCCTCACTGCATTTTTCTTCCTCTGAAATTTTTCCCATTCTCCGTTTCCATTTCTACTTCAGTTTTCCCCTTAAAGACAATCCTCCACTTTGCCAAAGGAGAGGAAATTCTCCTGGCCACACCCCTCTTCTCTTCACTATGTGCCCCTCCCCACTCTTTGTAAACTGTAGTGCAGACTCCTTACATGTGCAGATGGGAGCCTTTGGAAAAATGAGGGGTTTTCTTACATGCTGTGGACAGTTATTAAGTGCTTCCAGAAGGAGGTACAAAATATACCATCTCCTTTCTGCCTCTTCAAAACAGCATCTTGCTGGTGGTAATGAAAAAGGAAAGCACCTCCACATCCCAGGAAGTGGAGATTGGTGAGGAAGATGGCAAGGGTTGCAGAAAGAGGGAGAATAATAAGGCTTAATTGTATTAGTTTTGAAAAGGGTTTTCGATCTTTTCCATGGATAATTTTATTCCTGTAATGGCTGGGAAGATGGGAAATGCAGCATCTGACAACCTTTTTTTTTTTATTAGCAGTTGCTTTTATACAATTCAGCTTTCATTTGTTGAATACTCTCAGACCTTGACATTTCTGGCTTCTGTACACACAGCTCCTGGACCTTCCAGTCATCATGATCCTTTTCTTTCTTTTCACCCTCTCTTTCTCTCTTAGTCTTTCTCCCCCCACCCCCTTACTCTCCCACCCTCCTCTCTTTCCCGCTCTCTTTTAAGTTTAGACATTGACAGTAGAAACATTTTCAGAGGAAAATCATATCAGCTGCTGTGTCATCCTTGACCTTCCAAAACAGCTCATTGATAGTGAGGACAGTTGGGGTGGGGGTGGCAGAGGCCTAGGTCTTTGGGGGCAGCTGGGGTGTGTCAAAGGCCAGCTCGAAGCCAACTGCCCTTCCATCTGTAGGCTACAGTCCTGGAGTGCTGGTTGGGTCTCCCCTTGCTTATGGTAAATAGGAAGGTAGAGAAAGCCTGTATAGAACCCAGACTCTCATTCGAGGAGGAGACTACTTTGTGACCTTTTGTATTGTAGCATTTATTCCCTAGATGATTATTCTTCAGAGTGGAGATCATATTTTTTAGAGCTCCCATACTTTATAATCTTTCTGAGTAATTGTTCTTCACACCAATATTGAAGGGTCTAAGTGAAGAGTGTTTTTTCCTTTTCACCAGGGGCAGCAGTGAGCTGCCAAGGACACAGGGCCCTTGCCAGGGTCTCATGGCACCTGAGGTGGAACCCTACTGGACATGCTGTTCATAGAGGACAATAGTGTGGCTTAACTGACAGCCTGGCCACCAGAGACCAGTGGGCCAGGACTTCCGTCAGCTCTGTGTTGCCATCCTCTGCCGTCACTGTGCCTCCATATGTCTCAGTTTCCTCTATGAACCAGAGATACCAGTGCTTTCTGTGGGATGGCCAGTGGTGTTGGGGATGCTGCTCCTTGTCACAGTGCTTCCGTCTTGGATTAATGGATGAATGTGTATGTATGACGTGTGTTGTGTGTGCGTATATGTGTGTGTGTGTGCAAGCACATGTGTATGCACACTGAGGTGAGTTTTCCCATTGAAGGTGCCTGGTCCCTTCACTTGTTCTCTGGGATAGGGCAGCCTCTCTCCTAAACTTCATCAGGCTTTTTTCTCTGATGCCTGCCAGGGGCCCACAGGTCAGGCAGTATGCAGGAGGCTGAGAGCCACACGCTGCTTATACCTGGTATTTTCCCTATGCCTAACAGTGGCAGAATAAGCCCATTTCATCTATATGTTGGGCATATGCACCAGGAAGGTAAAACCCCTAACATCTGTGCCAAGTCATGGCCACTGAACCTCTTGCCATCTTAACTGCTTTTGCACTAGACACCCTTTGATTAGCTGCCACTGTGTGACTTCCTCTAGGAAGCTAAAGGTCTAAGAGTGGAACCACCCACACCATGCTTGGATTTAGCTTTCATGGGGCTGTGGTGACTTGTGCCTCTTGAATCAGTGCACCTTACTGTCTTTCAGCAGAGCTCTCCAGGCTGAGTGGCTCTGATGTAGACTCTGATAGCCCATATAGCTGACTGCTCTTGCTGGCCAAGACCTTGTCTTTTATGGTTGGTCATGGACTGAGTCTGGTGGTGCTTTGAGGAGTGAGTGTCCTGCAGACCTCATTTTAGTTCTACCTCGATGTTGGGATGGCCTTATGACTATAAGCACGTTGTTTATACATCCTCCATTTATTCCATTAATTGATTTAAGTCTGTCAAATGCCAGGTACAGCGATGGTTCAAATGGTGGTCCCTGCCTCAGGAAATCCCTCTGGGTGGGAGGGAAGGGAAGTGTTGAGGATTAGGGACACCAGATGAGAGGATGTCTTGTGCTGACATCTGTGACCAGGGGACCTCCCAGTTCAGTTAAGGACCTCATCTTTTTCCAAACTCAGCAGCTACATAGTAGAGAAGATACTTTTCAGGGCTAGTGTGACAGACAGAATCAGGGAGAGATTCTGAAATGTGTGTGTTCTTCTCCCGATGTACACGCACTGCCCTGTACTGTGGCTGTGAGCAGTCAACCCTTCCTCCCATCTCTCCCCTTTGACTTGCAGTTTCTTAAGGAAAGACTATGTTTTGACTCTACCAGCTCTGAATGATCTTCTCAGTGATGGCACTCAACAGAGTCTGCCTGTCCCAGGCCCACCCACCTCTTCCTGTCGTTTGGTGCACCAGTTGTTGGGGACAGCTGAAGCAGGGCCAGATGATAAGAGTCGTGCTTCATAAGAAATGACGTCGCAGTGCTCAGCCAGCATGGAGGCTCTCAATCTCATTACACATCAGGGAACTGCACACCACAACCACAATTGATACCATTGCTCACTAAGCAGAATGGCCCAAATGGAAGGAATGGACACTACCAAGTGCTGACAAAAATGTGGTTTAAGTTAAATTTGCAGGCACAGCTGTGACCAGTATGTAGACATGCCCTGTGTCCTAGCAGAAATATGTCCATAGGTTCTTTAGAAGAGATACTGTAGAATGTTCCTAGGAACAGCACTTATGATAGCCCCAAATGATCAATCGCAGCAGGGCGTACCCTAAAGGCAATGGTGTTGAAGACCCCTACAAATACACTTTTAAGCAAAAGAGGCCACATGTAGAAAAGTACCTGCAAATTGTGTGACCAATATGCACAGAGCGCAGAACCAGCAAACCAGATCTGTGGTGTACTGTGGGAAAAGTAGTGACTGCAAGGAGGCATGCTGGGTAGGGCAAGGATCCCACTGGTGACCTGTTCACTTGTGAGGATTCGCTTAGCTGTGTATTTTCCTTCCGTCAGTGCGCTAGACTTTCTAAACAGTGGGAAGCCTCTGCAAAGAAAGGCCAGCAGGAGGCCCAGTGGCCTCAGTACCCCTTGCCATCTCACACCACACCCTTCCTTGTTGTCCCGCTGGGCTGTGCCTAGGGCCTTTTTTCCAAAGTCCATGGAGCCTACAAGCCCAGAATTACCATTGGAGCCACTACTAGGCCGCTTGCATGCATTTTGTCTTTTCTCTCACTGTAACTGGAGGTCAGATAAGCTGAGAAAAGTTAAGCACCTTACCCAAAGATGCACAACCAAAATGTGGAAGCTCAGCTGCAAGCCCAAATCTTGCTGTGCCATCTTCTGGGATCT